AAAAAATGATAGCCCTTTTCAGAAAATGCTGTTGATGGCTGCCCAGTCTGTTTTGTGATCCCCCTGAGGTCGCTTGAACGATGCCTGGAAAGAGCTTGGACACATGGGCTCTGTTTGGACTCTCTGACTGTTACTGCTGTTGGCTGATGGCGCCACCTTGGCCGTGCTTGCTCTCTGCTGGCTTGAGTAGCAAAATGGATGTTGTCTCTCCCCCCCCCCCCCCCCCCCCCCCCTGTTTTTGGTCAAAGTTTAACCCTCCTTTACACGTCAGATTTTGCGTCCTGGTAAGTTTTTATCACCCCAAAATGCTTCTCTGTGCCGCTGGAATCTCGTCCACTGTGGTCCCCCCCCTTGACACGCAGCTCCTCAGATGTATCGCAAAGAGACTTTGAAGAAGAGACTTTGTTGCTAGCCTTTTCTTGCTGGCTCGTATTCCTTCCCTCCTGCTGTGTGTGCGGCACTAGCAGTACAACGTAGTTTGACAGTTTACTACTATTTCTCTCCTGTTGATCTCGGCTGTATGCTGCGACGCGCTCTGTGCCCGGGATCTGGATGGCAGGAACGTGGACTTTAAAACCATCCACTGAAGTCACATTTTGTTAGTTTGTTTCCTTTTTTTTTTGTCATTTTCCAGAAAAGTGGTGTGTATGCTGTGTGTTGTTGTATGACAAGTAGCCTAAACTTGTATTAATTTTTGCCTTTGGAAGGGTTTAGCTCCACTAATATTTTCATCTTTTACTTCACTATTGAATGTGTTCCTCGATTTTTAATGTGAGCTGGCAAATTCACAGCGTTGGGAGCGTTGGACTGTTGCATACTGTGTATCAAACACAGGTGTGTGTGTTTTGTGGGAGTAGACTTGGACGGCTGGTGTGTGAGTATTGTATGAGGTTAAGTGGTTGTGTGCCGCGGTGACTTGTCGTAGGTTATTAATAATTTTCCGTTTTTGTTGAGTTTTGGTCTGGCTGCTTAATCTGTTTGTTTTGTTTTTTACCCTTTAGTTATGCAAGTTTGTACAAACATCTTTATTTATATACTGCAGTGCGCGTAATCATCCAATAATACAGAATGAATTGTATGATGTAAATAAATTATGTTCACAAATATAAAATCAAGAATTCATGGCCCTTCATTTAAATATGCCACTGTCGTCTGCAGTCTAAATGAAATGGCTAGCTTGTCTTTAATCCTCAGCTTTTAACTTCTTCTATATGGATCTATTTTATTTAATGACAGTGGTTCATATGTTCACTGTTACAGGCTGCTGTCAGTTTCCATGTGACTCATGTCTCTGCAGGGGAAACGGGATCTGCTCTGCTGCAGTGAGCGTGGCCTCAGGGTCACGTTATGACACCATTGCCCTCCCTCACCATGAGGACTTTATGTTTTGACACAAACACACACACACACACACGTGCAGGGTGTACTCATTCATCATCGTGAGCAGCACATGGTGTCATGAACAGTTCTGTTCCTCAGCCCACCCCTCCCTCTCCTGAGGATTAGTGGAAATGGTTCCCCAAATAATCTTGTCTTTGCAGAAGTAAACACTAACCACAGAGCTTTTATCTTTTCTTTTGGCACATACGAGAACATTCAGCTCTAGTTCTGCTTTTTTCAAGCTTTTCTAATGCCCCAATATTGCTCTCCTGTAACTGCTCTCTTGGTGTTCCTGCTCTGATGTTCTTCAAATTGAGAGAGAGTAGAGAGATTTCAAGTTTCTCTTTTTTGTTTAAACTCACATTGTCAACACAGTAGGTTATTATATATTATAAATGGACACACTTATTAAGCCAGATGTACTTCTATTAATGAAATATACAAAGGGCAACAAGTTTGTTAATTTTTATTTATTTATTTACTTATTGGATCCCCATTATCTTCTGCTGTAGCTGTTTTGGTTGCTAATCTTCCTGAGGTACTCAAAGTAAAATAATTTTATTCACAATCAACACTACATTAGTGGGCAAGATTGTGTGTTAAAAATAAAAGTGCTTCCTCAATAGAATGGATACATTTATGTGGGTTTATACACAGGCCTAAAATGTTATGACTTTTTATTATTTATAAACATCATTTAATTTAGTAGCTCAAAATGGGAAATTCTCCAAAAGTGCTAGTGCCCTTATTTAGCTAAAAAAAGCTTTCCACCTCTGTGCATGATAAGCATAACTGCCCACTGAGTGTTTATTTCAATTTCACCACACACTCCAACTATATTCTGAACATTTTTTATAACCCTTGTTTGATACAATTTAAAATGTTCAGGTAATTCAGCTTTGGAACCTTTCACATCTTCTCTACACATCTGGTGCTTTTTTATCAGTGATAAACTATATAAAATATATTATATATATTCTCGCAAAATAAATATGACCTCAATATCTGTGCAAAAGCTCATTTATTTGGTAATATACACAGATATGTTACAGCAGTTGGGGGTTATGTCGGGTTATGTTTTTTTGATCAATCTTTATTTTTAGTGGATTGCCACTAGGTGGCATAACAGACACATCCAACCACATTGATCCTTTCATGCGCTTAGAACCATATAGAGCTGACAATTATAAAAAACACTTCACATAATGTTAATGTTGACATAAGTTGTCACAATATATGAATTACTCCATTTGGATAAAAATGTCAGAACTTTATATTTCAAGGTGGCAAAATGTAGCGCCAGAACAAAAATCTAAACATGAATGTATTCTTAAACATTAAACAATTGTTAATGTGATGTAAAACATATGAAGACAAACATGGACCCTTAACACCCTATACCCATAAAGACCACTCAAATGTAAATGTAAAAGGAACTTTAGATAATCTTATCATAGTCAGCACTGTTTGGAGACAGCTCTTACATTCTAATATTAACATTTAGAGTTGTAAACGTGCGCACTTATAAAATTAAAAATGACATTTATGATTATTATTTCAGTCCTTGTGTCACACACACACACACACACACACACACAGTTTGTTGACCTGTCACAGATGTGCAGTAATGTAACAGCATGTTTGCTAGAACAGATCCATTAACTTTTAATTCCTCATGCATCTTTCATGGTGATCATGCATGAAATATTGATTTAGAAACATCTGATGCTTATCTAGACATGCAGGTGTTTAGAAATTTGTGTCAAGACCACAAATGGGTCCAGAAGAGAAAATGCTGAATTCCAGCTGTTGGTTGGTATTTGTACTTTCTTTCTGCAGGCATTCAGAGAGACAAGACCTCAGGATATTTAGCATTTTATAGAAATAGTAATTAAAAAAAAATGCACAGATCAGTAATGGAAATTCATTAGTAGTAGGAGCTTTTTTTGTTTAGAATGTATTTTCAAATCACAAATCACACTTACTATCATATCATATATTTTGTATTTTATTGATATATTTTCTGTAACTATTTGTAATGTGTGACAAGATACTTTTTGATGTCTTTGAATCTCTGATTTGTATATAACAAAACAAAAACTGAACACAGACAACTGGAGCAAAAGGACAAACACAGAACATACATTTACATTTAAAGCTCCTATAATCAATACTACATTCATGAGTTTGCCAGAAACACAACTTCGCTCTGTATCTGCTGGATGTATACAAAAAACTGCACATCAGCTTAAACGTTGATAATATTTGTCAGTGTTATGTTTGCAGTGTGTTGTATTTATGTGTACTTATACCCTCTCCCAGGCTTCGCATTTCAGAAAATGTTTAGACTCCGCCCCCTTCAGGGAGGTGTGTGGGGATGATGTTTCTGAATCTATTCGACCATTGGACAAGAACTTCTGAAGCATATGGCCCCTCAATACACGTATAACTGCATACACCTTCACACGTGTTTATATACATGTACATAGGCATGTACACATATCTGCAATACATTTCCCTTAAAAATATGTCTTCAGAAATGATAATCTTATAATCTTATAATATAAGCTTATATAATGCCCATTAATAATGAACATTTAGGCTGCTCTGTGTGGTGTCTGTTTATTCTCACCAAAATCAAGATTCACAGCAGTGCTGGTGGATCTAAATACGTTAAATAAATTATACCATCAAAGACGTCATCAGCTCTATAGCAACATCCAATATTATGCTGTCATATACACTTCATCAGCATGGTGGGCAGGAGCAGACTTGTCACCACCTTAAGCACAGTCACCTGTACACCAGCACCAGTCTAGAGGGGTGCGATCCACAGCTCACATGTGGGAACTGACAACCGTGTAATGGAATCATTTTGGATGTGAAAAATGAGCTCTACTGTATTATTTAATGAGGCTGCAAGGTGTTTCTCTGTACGGTTTCCAGCTCTGCACACAGGTAGCTGCTGTCGGTGTCTCCTGCAGGTCGGCTGACTCCCTACCTGCTGTATTTCTATTGAAAACAATAAAACATAAAAGATACTGCAGCTCCAAGGTCATCTCAGGGTATTTACTGTTCGCCCAATGAGCCTCGCATAGAGAAACCTAAACCTTCATTAAATCTTTAGGGCGTCTGGTGTTCTCGTGTATATATGTGTGTGTGTGTGGGGTTTCCAGTAACAAGAGGAGTGAGAGTGTTTCTAGGTGCTTTAGATGATATGGTCCTTTGGCCATTTAGGAAAAACAAAGCAGCACACAAGTTAAATGGAGCTGCACTGAATGCTGTTTCACCTCTGAGAACCAATGTGGTGTGATGTGAACCCACAGCTGCACATCACCCCCTCTTTGTAGAAACGATAAACCATGAATATCACAGCTCCCGGAGAATAACACAGCCTCTCTCTGCTTGATAAGCCACAGTCGATCAACTTTGGTTTCCAGAATTTACTGCACCTATCCAGGAGCACCTGTTGACTGGGTCACATGCAGCAGTCGTCATAGTGACGGCTCAAGATACCTGAGTTGGGTGCTGGCTGGCGAGGAGCCTAGGCAGAGTAGAGCCAACCTGCTGGTGGGGGTAGACTGGGCGAACGCTGCAGAGGACACTTTTAATTTTCCATCATGCCGAGAAAACGGGAGTCTTCAGCAGATGATGGTGAGTTGAAGATGAGAGGAGAGGAGGATTCATCATAATGTTGTCAGGTTGTCATGATGTGTGATGCAGGCCAGTTGATTTTTAAGATAAATTGTTTTCTTGTGTCAAAACAAATTTGTAGAGCAATTTGTGTTGTAAAAAAACTTTGTATATGATCATATATTTTATTTCTATGACCATTTACTACTTATAGACAGAGGTCATGCTGACATCATGTAACTCTTGGCCATTTTCCACGAGCTGGAACTTAATAAAGTTCAACATAGTGTTAGACCCTCAATGTACGCTCAATGTACGCGCAGGAAACACAGAGTAAATTGGAGTTTTTACAGTCACTAGAAGCACATCCAGGGCTGTTTGTAAAGGTTTCTGTGTGGTACTGGTGCTGTAACAGTAGCCAAGCTAGCGGCTCAGAGATAACCAGCCATGAGCACTCTAGGTCCATGCGGAAAAACAGAGTGAATTGGTCACTAGAAGCACATTCAGGGCCGTTTGTAAAAGTTTCTGAGTGGTTCCCATGTTGTAACATTGGTTTTATAGTAACGGGTTGCTTGGTGACAATGGCTGCCACCATATACAGGTGCATCTCAATAAATTAGAATATCATGACAAAGTTAATTTATTTCAGTAATTCAATTCCAAGCGCTTTATTTCTTTTAATTGCAATGGATTATGGGCTTACAGCTAACAACCAAATTCATGTCATTTTCTTAGAACATTAGAATATTTTCATAGACCAACTACATTTTTACATTTTAAATCACCAGAAATTGTCAGCCGCCTTACTCAAAGTATTGTTCATATATGCACTCAATACTTGGTCGGGGGCTTCCTTTCTGGCGATGAATTATTCCATCAATGCAGCCGTGGCGGATTTTGGAGGGTGATCAGCGCTGGTTGGCGCACTCGCCGGATAGGGTGCTTCATGGAAGTCTCAGGTTTTGCTTTGATAGTGGCCCTTCAGGGTCACCAACTGCATTTGTTGGGGTTCAGCGTTGTCTCTCATCTATAACCTGCTTGACAAATAACCCAATAGATTCTCTATTTGGGGGTTTCAGGGTCAGGCGAGTTTGCTGTTGCCCTCAGTCACAGTAAAACATAGTCAAAATATCGGAAACCAGCGTATTCGGCAAGATGAAAGTATACCATATTGGACACAGTATTGCGGCAGGCTGTCAAGGTCACTGCCTGGAAAAGTAAGAAATTCAGCATCATTCATTAAAGCTTAATACAAAGACAAAGAGCATGACAGTGCTCTAATAGTCCCTGGGGAATGGCTGACTGTGACTATTGGACATTGATAAAACATAGTTGACCAACACCAGGCAGATGCAACCCCCACCCCATGAGCTCCCAATCATCACTGACTGTGGAAACTTCACACTGGACTAAAAGACAACTATGATTCTAGAGAACCTAATCCACTCTTCCTCCAGACGTTCTGAAGAAGGAAGACCCAATTATTTCACCGAATGAGAATTGCAAAGACTTATACATCTGAAAAGCGCGACTTGGGAACACTGGAGTGTCAGCAGTCCTTTTTACTTACTAAACCCAGGATCAGAATCTTACATGACACGTTGGGTAGGGGCCCAGAGTCCTGGAAATACAAACTACTTGTGTGACGGTGGCTCTTGAGGCACTGAACTACCAGCCTCAGTTTACCACTACCTTTGACGAGAAAAACAAATCTATCCGGGAATTGTCCCCCCCAGAAATTTTAGAACTGAAAATGAGAGTGTTTGACTTACAAAATCCTCTCAAGGCTGCGGTTAGCCTGACTTAGCTTAGTGCACTATTCCTTACCAACCATAATAATTTACACTTGAAAACCACTACAAAAACATATATCTAAAATGAATATGCACAACAGTTAGATTTTCGCATTCTTTAGCCATAAATGACCTATCTTGTTGCGCTTAACCCTCACATTGGTGAGAGCCGGGTAAAACCACGGGTAAATCGCTCTTTCTGGAACAAACTGTCACCAAAGCCGCACGTCATTAACCCAACGGAATG